TCTTCTTCTTCTTCTTCTTCTTCTTCTTCTTCTTCTTCTTCTTCTTCTTCTTCTTCTTCCTCCTCCTCCTCCTCCTCCTCCTCTAAATATCAGTAAATATGTCCTCAAGTGAGGTTTTGAGGGTTAATGTATAAGAATATATATCACTAGTACCTTGTACATCTTCAATAAGTGCTAGCTATTTTATTAATATTGTAATTACTATTTACTTTTTCTTTCATTCCCACTGCTGTGCTGAGCACTTTATATAATACCACCACCTAGAATATATTGATGTGTATTCAATACTTCAGAGTTCACAGTGACCTATGGAAGTAGGAATTATTCTTATTACTACCATCTTACAAATGAGAAAACTGAAGTACAGGGAATTTAAATAACTTGCATAATGTCACACAACTTCTAAATGGCAGATAAAAGATTTCGAGCCCAGGGTGTGTTTTCTTAAACACTCAGATGCTCTAGGTTGCCCCAGTTAAGCCTCATAAAAGCCCTGTGAGGGAGATATTATGATCCCCATTTTACAAATGGGGAAACTGAGGCTCAGAGAGACTAAGTGATTTGACTAAAGCCGTCAGAGTCAGAATTCAGCCCTAACATGTATGTCCCTTAAAAGCATGTGTTCTCTCTGCTCTGCAGTCAGAACAGGACATGGCTTAGCAGCTCCCTGGTCGCTGCTGCTGGGTGGGAGGCTGTCTGAGAGCGGGACTCACCTGCGAGGGTGTTCTCCAGGCCGGGAAGGCTGCATTACCAGCTGTGCATCAGGGCGGTACTGTCGTGTGGGGTCATGAACAGGAGAACTGAGAATGGTGCCATGTTACCAATTTTTTAAAATATATTTTTATTGGTTTCAGAGAAGAAAGGAGAGGGAGAGAGATATAGAAACATCAATGATGAGAGAGAATCATTGATTGCCTGCCTCCTACACACCCCAGACTGGGGATCGAGCCTGCAACCTGGGCATGTGCCCTGACCAGGAATTGAGCTGTGACTTCCTGGTTCACAGGTTGACGCTCAAACCCTGAGCCATGCCAGCCAGGCCATGGTAGCAATTTTAAGGATCCCACTGTGTGCAGATCTTGCTCCCTGATTTGTGGAATAGGCTTCTAGTCATGCTGTGTGATGGCACAGGAGCTTGGCACATCAGCCTTTCTCCAGATGACCAGCATGCTACCAGATCCAGTGAGCAACATGCCCCAGTCTACTTGACTTCTCAGTAGCAGTCAGCATGCTTCATTACTCTTTTCTTCTCAAAATACTTCCCTCCCTTGGCTCCAGGGCACCCTAGTCCCTTACTTTCTTTCCTATGTCACTGGCCACTCCTTCTCCTGATCTTTCTGATCTCTAAACGTTGGAGTCCTTGGACCTTCTCTTACACATTCAACATCATGGCTTGTAATGCCAACTAAATACTGATCAGATTCACGTCTTTAGTGGCAACACTTTTCTGAACTCAGGCATGTCTAAGTCACCTAAGTGACATCTCCACATGGATGCTTACTTAATAACTCTCTCAAACTTAACATGATCCAAACAGAACTCTGTTTCCCTCCATGTATTAGGTATCTATTGCTGTGTAACAAACTATCCCCAAATGTAATGGCTTAAAGCAACAATAAGCTCTTATTTCACATACTCTTTGTGCACCAGGTCCCCATGGCTAGGTTAGCTGGGTGATTTTGTCCTGAGGTTGGAATCAAGATGTCAACCAGGGCTGCAGTCACCTGAGGCTTGACTGGAGCTGGAGCATCACTTCCAAGATGACTCACATGGCTGCTGGCAGGAGGCCTCAGTCTACCTGGTTCTTGGCAGGAGACTTTGCCACTTAGACCTCTCTATAGGATTCTTGAATGTTCTCATGACATGCCAGCTAGAGAAAGCCAGAGCAAGTGACCCAAGAGAAAAGGTCAAGAAACCATGTGACTTTTTTGGCCTCAGAAGGTACTTACTATCATTCCCATCATATTCTGGGATGACACCAGGATATAAATGTCAGGAGACAGGGATCATTGGGAGCCACCATGGAGACTGATTGCCACACCCCAAAACTCCTGTCCCTGTGCTTCTCAAATCAATAAATGGCCTGTTGTTCAGGCCAAAGTCCTGGGAGTCATCCCTGATTCTTTTCTTTCAGATTCTAATTCAATCCATAGCAACTCCTATCGGCTCTATCTTCAGACCTACCCTGGATCCCACCTCTCTTCACCCCTTCTATAGGACCCACCCTAATCTCAGCCCACATTGACTAGCTTACTGCAGTCAATTGCTATCCTCGTTTCCACTCCTACCACCAAAGTCTCTTCTCCAGCATCCGGAGTCAAGATCATGTTGCTCCTCTCTGCTCTGCAACCTCCAGTGGCTCCCACCTAGCTCAGAAAATTGGCCAGCATCCTTTCCATGGTCTTCTGGCTCTTGGCTACTTCTCTGTTCATTCTTCCAAACTGTCTCCCTCTCCACTCCAGGAGAGCCTCCATGTTGTTCCTCAAGACTATATGTGCCTCAGAGATCCTACTGTGCTCCTCCTTCTGGCTGGATCGCTCCCTCCCCACACATTCATGGGGCTTGTTCCTTCACTTCAACCAGTTTCTGCTTGAATGGCACCCCCTCAGGGCAGAAAGCACTTTCCTGTCCAATATGGCACCTTGTTCCTCTCAACCCCTTCACTCTGCTTTATTTTTCTTCATATCACTTATCACTACTGGACCACATACTGTCTATGTATTGGTTTACTTATTTATCGTCTGTCTCCTTCTCTAGAATATAAGCTCCAGGAGAGCAGAAATACCATGCATTTTTATTATAACTGGACCTTCTCACTGTACCTGCAATAATGCCTAGCACATCATAGTTGCTGGAATAAATGAATCAATGAATGTACTGACTGGGAGCAATTAATCCATCTAGAAGAGTGCCACCCAATAGAACTTCCTGCAGTGATGGAAATCTCTACCTGTGCTGCTGCAGTGACTGTTAAAAAATGCTTAAAATGTAGCTAATATGACTAAGGAATTGAAGTTTTATCTTAATTTCATTTCATTTATATTGATGTTAATTAAATAGCCACATGTGGTCAGTAACCACCATATTAAAGTAGACCTAGATCTTTGGGGTGGATGGGGTGAGGAGGTATGTAAATGTTATTCCATGTACATCCGGTAGAGTGGTGGAGACTTTCTGAGGTACTGTGTTAAGAAGGAGCCTGAGGTCCCATCAACAAACCTTTGAGCATCTTCTATGTATCTGGCACTGTGTTGTCACCAGGATCTTACAGAAAGAGTTCATTGATCAATAGCACTTTCTGCCCTGAGCAATGAGGTGATCGCAGTATGACGTGGTATATTTCCCATCCCTCATCTCAATCATCTCAGGGGTGACTAGAGCTCCTTCTGATCCCTGAAACAGGGTGATTGCTGGAACCTATACTTAGTGTCAGACAAGCCTCTCTCTGGCTTTCCCTACCCCTGCTGTGTCTGTCCTCCCCATTCTCCTGCAAATTCCCTTAATCCACTCTTCAAATCAGACTGGAATGTTCTTTGCTGGTGTCTCTTTGAAGGCTGACCAAATTTCTCTTTCACGCACGACTCCCTGCAAACTTTGGTTATTCTCAATTCTATTGTACTTATTTAGTGAGAACATCGCATATGTTTAGCTTAATGCTATACACTAGCCTCCCTTATCCATGGTTTTACTTTCTGTGGTTTCAGTTGTCAACCACTGCCTGAAAATATTTAATGGAAAATTCCAGAGCTAAACAACTTATAAGTTTTAAATTGAACACTATTCTGAGCAGTATGATGAAATCTCATGCCATCCCACTCTGTCCCACCAGGGACATGAATCATCTCTCTGTCCAGTGTCTCCAGGCTGTATATTCCACCACTCCCATTAGTCACTTATAGTAGCTGTCCTGGTTATCAGATCAACTGTCTCAATATCACAGTACTTATGTTCAAGTAACCTTTACTTTACTTAATAAGGAACCCAATGTGCAAGAGTAGTGATGCTGCAGTTTGAATATACCAAAGAGAAGCTGTAAAATGTTTTTTTAAGTGAAATGGTATGTATGTGTAGGAGAAAACAGTAAATGTTGTGTTCTGTACTATCCAGGGCTTTAGGCATATATCCTTGGAATGTGAGGGGAGACTACAATGTAAAAGCTTTCAGTAAGGAGCCATGTTTTCCCTTTTATATACATGCTAGGTTATGTATGTGAATAGTATATAGTACCCTTTAGTATGGGAATTCAGGAAGGGGTGTGTGTGTGTGTGTGTGTGTGTGTCTGTACAGAGAGAGAGATTTTAAGGGATTGGTTTATGTTATTGTGGCGGCTGGAAAGTCTATCTTGTTGACTGGTTGGCAGGCTAGAATTTCTGGTGGTAATTGATGTAGTTTTGGGTCCAAGGGCCATCTAGATAAAAAAAATCCCTCCTCTTTGGGTGACCTCAACCTTTTCTCTTAAAGCCTTCAGTTGATCAGATGCAGCCCATCCACTTAAGAAGAGTAATCTGTTTTACTCAGTCTACTGATTTAAATGTTAATCACATCTTAGATTACCTTTACTGTAACATCGAGGCTGGTGTTTGACCAAGCAGCTGGGTACTATAGCCTAGCCAAGCTCAAACATAAAATTAACCATCATACTTTTTATAAAACTTGGTTATAAACATTCATCTTTTATTGGTATTTTCCTCTCTCCTGTCTCACTTCATAACTCCGGAGATCATGTCCCACTCGCTACTTGCATTCAAATCCAGTCCTCAGAGTCTGCTTCTGGGGAGTTTGATATGGAAAGGGAAAGAAAGAGGCTCGATGGGGAGATTGGAAGTCAGATAAAAGGTGGGAGCTGGGATGACCCGGGCCTTGAAAGGTAAGCCTCACCCATGACCAGGTGTGCAGTGGCGCTCTTCATTCAGACCAGCCGTGTGTTAGCTCCCTAACCAACTGGTTGTGGTGTTCAGATGTAACAGGCGGATATTCTCCATCCCTGTCTGTCTCCCCAGGTGGATTACGATCGAGCACAGATGGTTCTCAGCCCTCCACTGTCAGGGTCCGACACCTACCCCAGGGGCCCCGCCAAACTACCTCAAAGTCAAAGCAAAGCGGGCTATTCCTCAAGCAGCCACCAGTACCCATCTGGGTACCACAAAGCCACCCTGTACCACCACCCCTCCCTACAGACCAGCTCACAGTACATCTCCACCGCTTCTTACCTGAGCTCTCTCAGCATCTCATCCAGCACCTACCCCCCACCCAGCTGGGGCTCCTCCTCAGACCAGCAGCCCTCTAGGGTGTCCCACGAACAGTTTCGGGCTGCCCTGCAGCTGGTGGTCAGCCCAGGAGACCCCAGGGAGTACTTGGACAACTTTATCAAAATCGGGGAAGGGTCGACCGGCATCGTGTGCATCGCCACCGAGAAACACACAGGGAAACAAGTTGCAGTGAAGAAAATGGACCTTCGAAAGCAGCAGAGGCGAGAGCTGCTTTTTAATGAGGTAGATGGCATGTCCAGATCATCCTTTCTCATTTACATAATACTTATTTCCCATTTCAAAAATAGTACATGTACATGTTAGGACATTAGAAAACAGTGAAAATATAAAGTAAAATAATAACGTCCCTCATAATCCTTCCCTCTGGTCTCTTTCTATGCACGTATGGCTGCTACCTTTAGGAGGTACTTCATGTGTATAAGCCACTGTGCCAAGCATTGATCTGGTGTGATTCTTCCAACTCTGTGAAACAGAAAGATGTCATCACCATAGCAACAAGGAAATCTGGACTCGCATTAGTTAAATGGCTAGCCCACAGTCATACAGCTGCAGGTTGATGTCAGATTCTAAAGCCTCATGCTACTCTATGTAGGTAGATATACACTTAGTGGCCAGATTATTATGACCACCTCATCAGTACAATAAAGTGAATTAGTTATGAAAATAATAATAATAATAATAATAATAAAACCTTGAGAGTATTTGCTTAAGAAGTTTTCAATATTCAGTAATTTTGGAAGTGTCAATGAAGTACTGATGGGGTGGTCATAATAATCTGGCCACTCAGTGTATATTTTACATTCCATATCCTTTGTAGCCAATTTTTTTTACATCACAAGAAACAAAGGTGAGTTTAACAATGGACTAACTATCACTCTTTAGGAACTTTAAAATGTTTTTTCCTAACTGTAGAGATAATGATTTTTTCCTGTAGAATATACAGACAATATACTTTTAAAAGCCTCATAATTCTACAACCAATAAATATTCCATGCTAATATTTCAGTATTTTCTTTCTATATTTTTTCTACTTAGAGAAATGGTATATCATTTCCAGAGAGTTTGTACCAATTTGGACCTCACCAATAATCCTGTTTTACCCTCACTAGCATTGGATGCTATCTTGTTATCTCTGTTAATCTGATAGACATGAATAAATCTTATTGCTTTAATTAACATGTTATTACTAGTGAAGCTGAATCTATTTTTAAATGTTTACAGTTCATATTTATATTTTTATATTGACTTGTATGGCCTTTGCACCATTTTCAATTAGAGTGGTAGCACTTGTCCTATTGATTTGTAAGAAATCTTGATACATTAAGAAATTAACCCTTTCTATCTATTTGTTGCACCTATTTTTTCACTTTCTTATTTTATCTTTTAAACTTGCTTATCACTTGAGAGCTCCCAAGTGTACATAGGAAGGAAAAATGAGCACTTGTGTCCAGGGACAAAACATTTTGGAGTGTTTAATGATTTTATAGGGGGTCTTGAAGAGAGAGATGAGCTTTTGTAGATGAGAAATCTAAGTCTTAAAGATATCAAGTCAGGATTCCAATGTTAGATAACATGTCAGTCTTTAGCAAAGAATGTACCACCTACATATAGCTCTCAGAACAATAAACAGACACTGTAAACATGCAATCAGCTGCGACTTTGGAGTCTTCAGTGGTGGCTCATGTGAAGCCACCAGCGCCCCACAGATCTCCAGCTCCCAAGGCGTTCATTTCCTTCCCATGCTCTGAACCTCGCAGACAGCATCAGGTGAGTCAGCTTCACCTTCTTCCCAGTCCACAATTCCTGATTTTTGCAATGTATTTCTTGCAATGCCGGAACAGACAGGGCAAATATAATTTCATATAAACAACTCTATAATTTATTATTCAATGCTAATTCCAAAAATGTCACCAGAAGCAGCCACAGGGCACCAATTCTTGGAAGCTTTCTCCAGCAAACAAATTCTAGTTAGCCTTTTGATGCCTGGGCCATATTTGTTTTTATCTTCAAGATCCATCCTCTATATTCAGCCCAAACCTCTCTCAAATTCAACCCAGACCTTCTCCCAAGAAGTGAAGTTTGGCCCAGCCGGTGTGGCTCAGTGGTTGAGTGTGGACCTATGAACCAAGAGGTCATGATTCCCAGTCAGGGCACATGCCGAGGTTGTGGGCTCAATCCCCAGTAGGGGACATGCAAGAGGCAGCCGATCAATGATTCTCATCATTGATATTCCTCTCTCTCCCTTCCTCTCTGAAATCAATAAAAATATATTTTAAAAAAATTTTTAAGTTGTTATTATGTGGCCCCACCCCTAGTAACTGTTTACTTCATTCACTTGTGAGACTCACCATTTACTCACTTAGCCATGAATTAGTGATACTTTACCAGGTTAACCAACCATAGAATATGGATGGTGCCTTCCAAAGGAGATCCTTAGGGATATCTTACCACATCCCCTCAGAACAGGCAGCTCAGCCCCCTCTGTGGATGCAACCTTTGTCCTGGTTCTGCCTATTCTCACTCCTTATTCTCCCCAACCCCCCACCATTGTCTGGTTGACTTGCCATTTTCTCTAAATTTGCTGACTTGATTGCCTTTATTTCTAATAGCAACTCTCAATCTATTGTACTCACAGCACAAATGTCACCCCAAGTGAACAGGAAGCCACATTTCACTGCCACAAGTCAAAAAGTCTCTTTCCATTTGCCCAGGTTGTGATAATGCGGGATTACCACCATGACAATGTGGTTGACATGTACAACAGCTATCTTGTCAGTGACGAGCTCTGGGTGGTCATGGAGTTTCTAGAAGGTGGTGCCTTGACAGACATTGTCACTCATACCAGGTAAGTTTTTTATTATTATTATTATCCAGGCAAGCAATGCAAGATATTTGTTATTCTCCTCCAGGGTGAAGCCACAATGACTATCCTATGAACTTCATAAATTTTAAGCACTTTGAAATCAAGGTCATGACTTCCCTCTTCCTCTATATTCCCCAGGTGCCTATTATAATATCCTGTATATATAGTTCATTCATTCAATTAACACTCACTCTCCTTTCCCTCCAGAAGTTCATTAATACCCATTGATTTTTAAAATCACCAAGCTGCCGAGAATGAAGTTTTGGTGACTAATAGTAGAATTTTCCATTTCTACATAGATATCTAAAACTAAGTTCCATTCTCCTGAGTTGCCATGCCATTGCTAGGTGTTGATACACCAAGCGTACCTGGAGAAGGAAGGGGAGGTGGGAGATCAAAGTTTTATGTCATAATAGCAAACCTATATAACACAGAAAAATTCTTCAATTCTGTTTTTAAAGTGTCTTGCAAGTAGTTAATTACCATTGTAATTACCTGCTATGTACTTCCCTGATATGACAGTTGTGGTCATTTCATCAAGTGTTTATCCATCATTTTAATGTATCGGGCTGTTTCTGATATGCTGGTATACAAAAGACACAAATAAGGCTGAGAACCATTCCCTCAAGGAAGTCACAGATTAGAAACAAATACTTTACTACCTGTGCAGAATTAGAAAGATGTATGTAGACAGCATAGAAGAATTCCTGAATGTCTCTATCAGGGAGTATCAAGAAAGATTTCTAAAAAAGGGGGGGGGATATCTGAGATGGGTTTTGAGAGATAAATAGTTCACTTAGACAGAAAGTGGGAGAAAAAGGACATTGGAGTCAGAGGAAAGAGTATATGCTAAGGCAGTGCTTCTCAAATTTTAATATGCAAACCACCTGTGGATCTTACTAAAAGACCCTGATTCAGTGTAGAGAGAAGGAATGCTCTGCATTCTATAAAGCTCCCAGGCAATGCCCAAGCTGTTCATTCATGGACCACTTTTGGAGAAGCAATGTTCTAAGGAACAGATAAAAAATGTTACATTTGGGAAACTTTAAGTTTAGTCTTGCTGGTAAGTAAAGTGCCAAAGAGTTAAGAGGATAGTCATGAAGGAGAGGCATTGGATATAAGCTAATTTCACTGAAATGGCACCCAAATCATTAGTGAATCCAGATGAAAAACAATAGGGGGAATGCAAACAAGCATTGGGAAACTCTGTGAAGAAAATATATGCTACTGTTTCGCCATTAAAATGAGGCAAAATTTCGATCATGATGTCTGCAGTTCTCTGGCTGCAGTAGACCATCTCAAAACCAAAGGACACTGAAGCTTTTCCACCAACATTTCAGTGGGCGGACTCTGCAGTATAGCCATTGACATGCCCACCCCCAAAATACATAAGATCATCTTAATTTGCAGAAACAAATATACTGAAGAGTCCTAAGAACAAGACAAATGTGACTTACATATAAAACAACTAGAGGCCCAGTGCACGAAATTAGTGTAGGGGGAGGGGCAGGGAGGGGCGAGGAAAGGGGTCCATCAGCCCAGATTGTGAGAGGGGACATGCCAGGTAAAGGGACCCCACCAGTGCACTAGTGCACAGTCGGGGCCAGGGAGGGACATGGGAGGTTGGCCAGCCGGGGAGGGACTGAGGGAGGGCTCCAGGGTGTGTCTGGTCCATCTTGCTCAGTCCCAATGGCCGGACCCCAACATCAAGCTAACCTACTGGTCAGAGCGTCTGCCTCCTGATGGTCAGTGCACATCATAGCGACTGACCAACCAGTTGACTGTCTGCCCCTGGTGGTTAGTGCAGGTCATAGCAAGCAGTTGAGCAGCCTTAGCACTTCATTAGCATATTACGTTTTGATTGATTGAATAGCTGACCAAACAACTGGACACTTAGCATATTAGGCTTTTATTAAATAGGATTAATAAAAAATATATCTAAAAGAGAGGCTTTCTTTCTTGCCCTAGGGATCGTCCGATGGTGATCCATGTCTCTAGAGTTCTCCCTTGGTCAAGGTTCTTTTCAATCCCTATTTTGTATCAAATGAAAAAGCTCAGATACATTCTGTCAAGGAAGTCCCAGGTTAGAAATAACTACCTCATAGCACCTGTGCAATCTCCTCTGAAACCAGACACCTTCTTCAGAGGGGGGCAGCCATGATATGTAGGAGCACAGGTCTGGTGCTGTACTTGCCTTTCTCATTCCCATGGCCCATCTATTACAGAATCATTCATTCACACTCAGTTATTAGTAACTAACTTAGCAGGTCCAATGTCCTTGACAGAAGGACCTGGAGCATAAGAGACCTCCAGTTCCAGGAGGAAGATGAGGGAGGGCTAGTGAGAGGCAGGGCGAGTCTCAGAGATCCAAAGGCCACTTTGCCTGAGTCCAGCCTTGGTGAGAACCATGGTTGTCCCCATTTCCAAGGTAAGTAAAAAGAGACCCGAGGAAGTTAAAGGACTTGCTCAAGGTCACCTAGCAGATATACCTGGAACCTTGGTGCTATTCAGTGCACTTCCTCTGCAGGACCCAGGAGGTTTGGCAATACCTAAGGAATTACCTAGAGGTGTCCAAGGTAGTGCATTTGCAGTAATGACCCAGAAGCCAGCAAATGGGGGTCTCTTGCCCTTGGCTTATATTTGGCCCCTGACATCCTGGTACCCAGCCTTAGGTTCTGCAAATCAGATGTCAATGACTTCATTTTCTTTGCCTATAGGTTTTCCAGGCATGGGTTGATTCACTAGAACTCAAGAGAGCTGCCTCTTTTGATCATGTCAAGGATGTTCTTAAATCTGTCCTTGTTCCTTAAATGTTGTTTCCTTTCTAGAATGAATGAAGAACAGATAGCTACTGTGTGTCTGTCGGTTCTGAGAGCTCTCTCCTACCTTCACAACCAAGGAGTGATTCACAGGGACATAAAGAGTGATTCCATCCTCCTGACAAGCGATGGACGGGTAAGATCTTCCTGTTTGGCCCCACCATGCTTTGCCTTGTCACTTTGTCTGTCTTAGGTATTGTTCTCCTATGAAGACTTCTTATAACACTAATTTTTTAGTCACAAGTCACCCACTGCCCTTTCCAGAAGGCTTACAAAAAGGAAATTACCATCCTCTGTGTCATCCTGTTAGTCAGAATTACCTGTGACTTGAATTTGATGGATAATTTTTCACCTTAACAATGAGTGTAGGCAGTAATAAAAACTATAGAAATTTTTTTTGCCATGCTCCTGTTTTTGTTGGCGGAGACCTTTTCTAGGGCTTTGACCACCCTATTTCGTGACTATGCGTGTCTGCAGTATCCATCAGAATTCCTGCAAGAAACAGATGTCAAACTGCAGTGGACAATTTGAGGAGCGTTTAATAAGGTATGGGCAGATGCAGAAAAGTGAGGGGTGAGAAAAACGCATGAGAATTAGTGTGGTGCTCAAGAATGGAGCACCACTCTTATCGGAAGGGGTGAGGTGGGAACTGGTTACTAGAACCTGGAAATAGAGGTTGTTGTGTGAAGAGGGATGCATGGCAGGAGTCTGATCTTTGGTAGAAGCCAGACCACAGGGAACCTGCAGGGTGGGAGCTGGTGTATAAGGACCCCAACCTCCCTCTGTTCCTAATGTTCAGTCTCCTGTTGGTGCTACCTATTGGCAAAAGCAAATCAGAGGTCATCTATGCAGTCAACACAGGTTGGCCTCCCAGGGCTCAGAGAAAGTAGGAGAATAGATCTAGAAGGAAACATGGAAGATAATTCATCACACTAGCATCTCTCCAGCCCCAGATTTCTGCATTTCTCATCACTGCAACCTACTCAAGGGATGCTAGTGAAACTCATCAGCTCACCATGGTACAAATGAACACAGAATTCCACAGCCAAGAAAAAAATGAGTTGATATTCCAATGAAGGCTAAAATGGAAGTTTCGAAGTGTAGATTTTCACTATTTAGGTCCTTTTAACCTCCCTGAAACTTCCACCAGAGGTAATAGTTCTGGGATGAATGCAGCCAGCTGTCCCTTAATGACCTGTCTGTTACAACCCAGCAAGCTCAGCCATGTGAAAAACATTCATGTCACATGAGAATTTGCCCATGAATGGTCAGAGGGCAGCCAGAAGAAAATGCCCAAGCACTTTGGCTTTTCTTGTAAAAAGATTGTCAATTTTATTGCAGAAAATTCACATATATATATGTGTGTATATATATATTCATATATATATATATATATATACATATATATATATACACACACACACATATATATGTGAATTTTATTCATATATATGAATAAAATATATATATTACAGTTGTATGTGAAACAGTTTATTCTTGTATTACTTATTAATTATTGTATTATTTTCCAAATGAACAGCTGTAATAATGTGTGTGTGTGTGTGTGTGTGTGTGTGTGTGTATACACACACATAAATGTATGTATAATTATAAACTTTGGATTATGTTTAATGGTCAGTTTAAAATTCTGCTTTTGCATTGCTTTAACTAAAAAAAAAAATTGTTAAAGAGAGTATATAGCAGTCAGCTTTTGGTACATAACAAATTACTCTACAGTTTAGTGGCCTAAAACAACAACTATATATTTGCTCATAATTCCAAGTCAGCCTATGAGCTGACCTCAGCTGGGACAGCTCATCTCTGCACCATGTGAGAGCATCAGCTGAGCTCACTTTTTATTTGTGATCAGTCTGCAGTTGACGGCCTCACTCATTTGCCTGGCACTTGGCTGGTACTCAGCCAGGGCAGTGGAGGTAACGGCTTGGCATCACTCATCTCCCAGTAGACTAGGCCAGGCCTATTCATGTGCTGCCTGTGGCAAGGTTCCCAAGAGCAGTAAGACAGCCAGGCCCCAATGCACACACGAGTTTGAACCCTCCACTTGCATCATGTTTGCTAATGTCTCTTTAGTCAGAGTAAGTCACACAGTCAAGCCTAGATGTAAGGGTTGGGAGCTGTTCAATGCCATTAGCCCTTAGAGAAATGCAAATTAAAACTAGAAGATACCACTACACATTTATCAAAATGGCTAAAATAAAAACAGTGATAACCCTGCTTACTTATACATGGCTGGTGGGAATGTAAAATGGTACAGCCACTCTCAAAAACATTTGGCATTACCTTTCAAAACTAACAGTGGACTTATCATGTGACATACACTTCAGAGCAATGTAAACTTATTTCTTCACATAAACTTGCACACAAATGTTTACAGCATTTTTATTCAAAATAACCCCCACCAAGAAACTGCCCAAATGTCCTTGAAAGGGTGAATGGTTAAACAGACTGTAGTATATCTGTACTATAGAATACCACTCAGAAAAAAAAAAATGAATAAGTAAATGGATACTTGATGAACCTCAAGGAAATTATGCTGAGTGGGAAAAAAAAGCCAATCTAAAGGATACACACTGCATAATTTCATTTATGTAACCTTCGTGAAATAACGTAATTATAGAAATGTACATCAAATTAGCAGTTGCCAGGGTTTAGGGATTAGGAGTATGTGACTCTACAGGGGCCGCACCAGGGAGTCTTATGGTTTTGGTACAGTTGGATACTTGATTGTAGTCATGATTATGCAAGGCTACAATGTAATAAAATTACGGAATATATAAACACATACATATACTACATACACTCATGAGTTCAGATATAATTGATGAAATCTGAATAAGCTCTAGGGACTGTACCAACATCAATTTCTTGGTGTTGATATTGAGCTATCTATAATAATAAAAGCATAATATGCTAATTAGACTGGATGACCTTCCGGATGAAGCCAGGGCTGCAAGGAAAACCTGGGTCCCAGGTGCCAGAGGGAATCCGGTGCCAGCAGCTGGGGGAAGGAAGGCCTACTTTTGCACGAATTTCATGCATCGGGCCTCTAGTAGTTGTATAAGATACTAACATTTGGGAGGGTTGGGTGCACATTTCTTTGCTACCTTCTAATTATCCTATATAATAAAGAGGTAATATGCAAATGGACCATCACTCCAACACACAAGATGACCGCCCCCATGTGGTCAAAGGTGGCCACCCCCATGTGGCCACAAGATGGCCTGCAGGGGAGGGCAGTTGTGGGCAACCAGGCCAACAGGGTAGGTAAGTTAGGGGTGACCAGGCCAGCAGGGGAGGGCAGTTGGGGGTGACCAAGCCTGCAGGGGAGGGCAGTTGGGGGTGACCAGGCATGCAGGAGTGGACAGTTGGGGGGGACCAGGCTTGCAGGGGAGGACAGTTAGGGGTGACCAAGCCTGCAGGGGAGGGCAGTTAGGGGAGACCAGGTCGGCAAGGGAGGGCAGTTGGGGCGATTAGGCTGGCAGAGGAGCAGTTAGGCATCAATCAGGCTTGCAGGGGAGTGGTTAGGGGGTGATCAGGCTGGCAGGAAGAAGCAGTTAGGGGCAATCAAGCAGGCAGGCAGGTGAGCGGTTGGGAGCCAGCAGTCCTGGATTGTGAGAGGGATGTCTGCCTGCCCCCACAAGGATCAGGCCTAAACGGGCAATCAGACATTCCTCAAGGGGTCCCAGATTGAAGAGGGTGCAGGCTGGGCTGAGGGACACCCCCCCCCCCCCCCCGCTCCAGTGCATGAATGTCGTGCACCGGGCCTCTATTTTCAAAAAAAATAAATAAATAAAGACAGTGAAATTGTTCAGATTTAAAAGGATAAATTCTTTTTAGCCTCTTCAAAGATCTGAAGGGAAATTATTTGCTATCAACTGAAGGTAAATCATTCACTATTTTTCCATGGCAGAAATAATATCTAGTGAATTACTACTTTGTCTTAAGCAAGGGGAATGTGGTGTTTTGGGTTTGAAGGGGGAAATAAATAGCATGTCACAGAGTGGTTGCAAGAATTACATGAAGTAATTTGTGTAAAACCATCAGAAGTAAGGGAGAGGGCAGTCCCCACCCCACCCTTGCAATTAAGCGTTGAGTAAATTCATCCATAATCTGCCCTTGGCTGGGGGCTTGCATTTGAGAGATGATACTCAGGGGCCACTAGACAGTGAGTGATTAACTTTTATCAAATTCATTGGCTGGAATGAAATTCAAACCTATCAAGCCCAGTGCACCTATTGAAAAGGGACACACACAAGTGATCTTTATGGTCTTTTTTTTAACTATGAATTGATTGCCACAATTTAAAAATTGGGAGGTTTCCTATGAAATTTCAGATTCCTGTCTTCCCTACAAACAAAGTATCTGACAACAGAGCCTGAATTCCCACGTGGCGGTGACGGAGGTGGCGTGATGAGGGTGAGTGGCACTTGAAGCAGACACAGCGGGTCTCCCACCCATGACTTCCTATGTCAGTGCTCACTAGCTCCACCTCCAAATGCCACCACCTGCATCTCTTTCCCTGGCCACCATTATCTGCTTTTCTAGCTCAAAGCAGGCTGGAAATTCTAGGGAATTAACATCAACACTCCCAGGAACAGCCCAGACACGGATGATGGGAGTTGGTGTGTAAAAACCACAGGCCTTGCCTTTGGATGGAATAGCTCTGAGGCACATGTCCTTCACCATCTCCCAGACTTCCTCAGCAGGATTGAGATTTAATTCACACTGTGGTAACTTGCTTGGTAATGACTTAACCCTTGACTGACTGCCTTCCCTTCCCTTCTGTACTTCCCCATTTCACCATTAGTGTTCCCTGTACCTCCCCAGCACTGAATCCTTGACTTGGGGTGTGTTTTGTGGGAACCCAAATTAACATAATGTCCAGAGACAATGCACCATGTCTGCGCGCTCTCTCCCACAGGATTTGAAGGGAGGGTAAGGGATAGGTAAGGGGCATAGACTGGCAACCAGCGCTTTATGACTGCCCCACGCCCTCTTTACTATGCCCCTGACAATCAGCTGGAAGTCAGTGTCTCTTTACCAAGGCTGTGTACCCCTGTTGTCCACTGTCTCCACATGGGCCATTTAATTCATTGATATTATTTGCCTGGCTCC